CCCAGCTTTGCTGTCTACTGCCCCTCCCAATTAAGTTTAATCAGCTTATGCTAGATATACTTGAGGAAGGAGGGTTACAACCTGCCACAGCAGCTATCAAATCAATTCCAGCCATCTTAAGTTTTTCACTAAGAGCTGCAATTGCCTAACTCCCAACCCTCTGAGTAGTCAAAGCCTCTTCCACGAGGTAAACTTTTCATCCATCTTACAATCCATGGTACTTCCAACTTTTCCTCTCTAGGATAATTCTCAGCTCCCTCAAGGGCTCCTCCTCACAGTAAGCCCCCCAAAGACCAACTACACCCACATCCATCCTGAAGTACATCTATAAGGCAGGCTTGTAACCACAAAGACACACTTCCCTTGTGCCAATCTTCTTCCCCAACAATGGAGCCCACCCACCTCATTAGTCCGATGCCCACAATTCTCGCAGTTGGTGGCCATGATGATAACCTCTTTAAAGTGGGGAATTTCTGGAAGACGGAGTTAAAGAAGCCTGTCTGCTTCCTGGAGAGAAAGACCCCTCCCTCTTCTAAGGAAAAGAAAAGCCAAATCCCACACAAGCAGATGCTGGACCCAAGACTGCGTAAACACATTACGAGACAACCTAACTCCAGGTGCTGTGTTCACAAACATTAAAAGACCTGGCTTAGGCCACACACAGAAGGTATGTAGTCTCATCAAAGGTTCTTCCCCATCACAGAGGATAAAGCACTGGCTTTCCCTGAAGGGAAGGCTCCCATCTTTAATATACTGTTCATGCCTGAGTCAGCTGGAGAGCAACCCAATTGCTTGAAAGATACGGACTAGCTTCATGTTGGTCTGAGCTGGGGCATTGCACTCTGGGCAGTTGGTGTTGAACTGGAGCACCTGGAATACAATTTGGGGGCACAGACTTATTCCCACCCATGCAAGCAAAAGACATTCAGTTGGTTGTGACAATGAGAGACACTGGATGCCATGAGACTCAGCCTACAAATCTGCCATGTCTTCAAAAGGAGTCACCACAACTCACTTCATTTCTGAGATCTTCCTCTTCTGACTTCTCTTCTGGTGCCTCTGCCTAAAAAAAAAA